CTGTATAAGAATGACATTTACCGCAAATATAGAGAAAATCTTTGGAAAAAAAAGTTGAACACTTATATACCATTTGGTATTAACAAAAGAGAACACTTCTGTCTTTGAATTGGATTTATGAACATTTGTGTGACATTGTGATACTTATTTTTACAGATATACTTTTATATATACTTTAAAATCATCATTTAAATATACCCTGTATTATAGTATTTTTTTCTGTATGATAAAAATTTTGATACACAAGTACAATTTTTGCTCTCACAATATCTTCAGATGTTTTTGGCGCAATTTTATTGCATGACGTTGCCTCTCAATTTCTATGTTCATTGTGACGTCATAATACTGTTGAGGTGCTATGCATTTAAATAAACACGACTGATGAAGGCCGGTAACACGGTTGAAATATTTCGAAAAGTGTTTTAAAGTTTTTTTATATATATATATATATATATATATATATATATATATATATATATATATATATATATATATATATATATATATATATAGGTAAATCTTTTTAAAAAAGAAACACGAAAACCTTTAGTTTAGCTTAACGAGGCCCGATCTACTTGATCTGCGCATACGTTTTAACGCAGCGTCGACTCAGGCACGTCATAATACCCTTGACTGCCGTCACAGTTGAACACAATAACGTCACAGTTACATTGACATCAAATTGCGCTAAAATGTTTCGCTGATCTTGCTTACCTGGTAACTCTATAGAATATGCATTGAAAGCTGGCATTTCTATTATTTTTTTTAAATATTCAAATTAATAAACAACTTTGGAACCTAACAAATTTTGAGGGATTAATCTTTTGGTACAGATTCATTAATTTTATTCTGTTTTATTCCAATTTGTGAGTTTAAAAAACAATCACTGCATCTAAAAGTAAACGATTTTAGTCTTTCTCTTTGAACATGTTGAAGTATTTATGCACACTCTTTTTATTTCGGACTTAAATATGCATGGGCTATCTTCAGTTTTAAAAAGTAAAATAAGTCTATAAGTCATTTAAATTGAACCGCCGAAATATTTTATTTTTCTATATATTACATGATATCAGTAAAAATTGCAATTTTGTCGCCGTTACCCCCCCCCCCCCTCCTCCCTCTACCCCTTTTCCACGTATAACAACGTCGCGTGTTAAGAGAAAAATAAAGCATGGCTAGAAAATTATTTCATAATGTAAGAATTATTAATTTTTTTAGAAACCAATACATTATTGTAATCGTTTGTTGGCGTTATGAAAACCCATTGCGACCTATAAAATACGAAGCTGGATAGAATAAATCCAAATTTTGTGTTTTGACATGCCCCCTTTTCACTGCAATAAAGGCTACCTCCAATTTTCTTTTCATGATTTATAAGAAGAAGGAAAATTGCATGATATATGTGAAAAATAAAGAATTTCATCATGTATTTTTTTAAATTTGTAAATTTCTTTGTTTATTGAATAGTTTTAGTATGTAATTGTGTATAAAAACACGAAAAATGGTCCATATCTTGACAGTGCCCCCATTTCACTACAATAAAGGCAAGGTAACAAAATTTCATTCTAATTTTTCTAAGCATAAAACATACAAGTATATTTCCAAGAATTAAAATTTTTCATCATTCCGTTTTCGTAATTTTCAACTAGATCGGGCCTCGTTAAGCGCTTTCATTTCAAATCTTCAGAAGCTTTATAATACGTAACATAGCAACATAACGTCATAACGTCATAATAAGCGGAACATTTCATACAAACGTCTATTGTGACGTCATAGTCAAACTTTGCGGGAAAACTGTAGAATGAAAATAATAAGTACAATTTTTACAACAATTATGCTCAATTGTTCAGTCTAGGTTTGAACAAATGTATAAAATGTTTTTCTTTCTCACGTCTCTGAATATCACTTTCACTTGAAAGTTTGTAAAAAGGAAATATAGTGAATTGTTTATTTCCACAAGTATCCAAATGTTCACTCAGAGGGATTTGCCGATATTCCGGAGAGTTAATATGTTGTCGGTGGACACGCACCCGGGCACGCAATTGATTGCTCGTTTCCCCGATATAAAATTCTTGGCATCCAGCACACGTAATTACATATACTACATTTTTAGTGGCACAAGACATGTTTGCATTGACTGTGAATTGTCTTCCATTAAAGTCATAAGTTGATCCTTCCATTATATGTGTACACGTCCCGCAACGCGCGTCTTCACACTTAGTCACTTTGTAACTATTCTTAAAATGGGACGAACACAGAATTCTTCTAAGATTCTTGGGCTGTCTTCTGCTGTTAATAAATTTTACATCTCTATATATTTGTTGTGTTGACCGGTCCGTTTTTTCTATATATTTGTTGTGTTGTTGGATTGACAGCCCAAGAATCTTAGAAGAATTCTGTGTTCGTCCCATTTTAAGAATAGTTACAAAGTGACTAAGTGTGAAGACGCGCGTTGCGGGACGTGTACACATATAATGGAAGGATCAACTTATGACTTTAATGGAAGACAATTCACAGTCAATGCAAACATGTCTTGTGCCACTAAAAATGTAGTATATGTAATTACGTGTGCTGGATGCCAAGAATTTTATATCGGGGAAACGAGCAATCAATTGCGTGCCCGGGTGCGTGTCCACCGACAACATATTAACTCTCCGGAATATCGGCAAATCCCTCTGAGTGAACATTTGGATACTTGTGGAAATAAACAATTCACTATATTTCCTTTTTACAAACTTTCAAGTGAAAGTGATATTCAGAGACGTGAGAAAGAAAAACATTTTATACATTTGTTCAAACCTAGACTGAACAATTGAGCATAATTGTTGTAAAAATTGTACTTATTATTTTCATTCTACAGTTTTCCCGCAAAGTTTGACTATGACGTCACAATAGACGTTTGTATGTAATGTTCCGCTTATTATGACGTTATGACGTTATGTTGCTATGTTACGTATTATAAAGCTTCTGAAGATTTGAAATGAAAGCGCTTAAGCTAAACTAAAGGTTTTCGTGTTTCTTTTTTAAAAAGATTTACCTGTAAACTACCGAGCACTGTGAATTTTTTTCTGTTTCAATATATTATATATATATATATATATATATATATATATATATATATATATATATATATATATATATAATGGCAAAATTTATGTTTTGCTCTGTGACACTCAAAATAAGTGTAATGCAGATCACGAGGTGTTGGTTGTGTTAGAATGTGCACATGGGGAACTGAGGTGTTATATTTTTTTCATTGCCTCGATGCAATAAAGCAGACGTAAAAGTCATCAATGAAACATATGGAGATAATGAACAGTATTCAAGATCAAACATCAAAAACCTCAGAGGTGGGATCATGTGCCATAGAGGAGTGAGCATCCTCTGCCGACTGGTCATACCTGCCTTGCTCTTTGGCATGATCGGGAAATAACAAAACAATCCGTCGTCAATTCAGTGTGTAAATAATGGACCAACAATTAGTATTAAAAATGTCAGTCAGCATGTGACTCAATGATAAATTGTATTTGCTGACAAGGTCATAGTATCGACCAGAAAACTAACGAAATGATGACTTCAAAAGAGACTGCTGAAATGGTTGTTTCATCAACTTGTCAAAATTTTACCTCACATTAGAAAATGTTTATAGGACATGCTCTTGCATATCGAATCAACTCACAAATAGAATTTGCACATGTATGTCATTTTACTTTGTATATTTCAGGAAATGAAAGGCTTCTCATTGACTTTTATTTAAAATGTGGTCAAACTGAGAATGCCCTTAAATGCGCAGAGAACATTGGGGACGGAGAATTGAGAAACTTATGTCTTTTTGAAGATTGTTATTCTCGATATTGTGAAGGAATATACCTTGAAAACATTCAAAGCGAAATTTGTAAAAAGCTTATCGGGGTTTTACACGCTATGCAAGATTCACAAGACAAAGTTTTAGCTGGTAAAGTGGCTTTATTAATTGGCAAAATTTCAGAAGATCAAGAGTATGTACAGATAGCGTATGGGGAGTTTAATCATTGCAGGCCTAATTCAAATTTAGCAGGACAACAAGAATGTATGGATTGGATGATATATCACTCAGATCTTAGAGATAAAGGAAATCAAGTTAAGTGCATATTAGGTATGGAAACTCTTTTCAAGGCACTGTCTATTTTAATTTATCCAATAAATGAAAGTGAAAGACAACGAAGGGTGGATGTTTTGGAGTACTTTGGCTATCATAAGACTTATGGAAACAGTGATCTTACTGTTTATCCGTCACAAAAACCTATGGCGCTAAAGATTTCACTAAATATTGAAAAGTCTAGAGATCACAAATGTCAAGTGAAATTAGAAAAAACGAAGAACGATATTTGTCGCTATCTCATTCAGCGGGGAGAAGAATGGATACATGAATTGGAAGGCATTCTAAGGAAACAAAAAGATGACCTTCTGTCAGAATTTATCAATTCAAATCCGATGGATTCAGATCTCTTTTTGAATTTGATACAAATGGATATACTTTTAGTTGAACTTGAGGCCCATGTAAGAACAGGTTCCAAAAACTTTAAAAGAAGAAGTAGCGGCTTAGGCTTGGGTCTAAAAAAGCTTGATGTCTCAACATTTGACAAATGCAAAGATATCATGCTAGATTTGTTTCCAGATGACGGCATAGTCAGTATTTCGAATTTTAAACCTGGAGAAATTTTAAAAGTGCTCAAATATATTCGAAAGGTTCAAAAAGGCTACTTTCGACAAGCTATGAAGTCATTTCTAGATAGCATGGCTGATGAAATGAAATCTGACGTAAAACATAATCACATTCTTTATTTTGTAAGTTTCTTGTTTATCAGAGATATTTTTGATGTTCGTACAAGCGAGGATCCTGAAACAATTCTGCTAGAGATGGAAGAAGCTTATATGAATGAAACAGATTGTGAATCTCCACACTGGAGAGTATCTCATGGCTTTGAAATAAGTGAAAATCAAGAACACGGAGTTAAACCTGCATCACTTTGTCGATATATGGTCTCTTGTCAAAAACTTTTAAAGTCCGGGAAGCCTATCGAGGCTCTATTAGAATTTTCAAAATTTTGTCAGATGCTTTGTCAACAAGATATAAGCCCCCTTTCAAATTCTCCCCATCTCATGTACTGGCTGGAATTTTTTAGTTGTCTTGCACTTTTCTCAACAGCAGCCTATATTGGCATCTTGAAGTCTAAAGAATGTCAATTTATTCTTCCCAAATCATACCCTTTGAATGCTGTGTCCATCTATATGACATTTCACAATAAAGACACGCTTATTCAAGATTTGTGCAAAAAGAAATATCTACAGAAATATGGCAGCGATCTTTTGAAATCGCCAGAGTGTATCGTGCAACTGTTAGAAAGACTGACTGACAGACCAGTTTCATATTTGAAACTAGAAGGAAACCAAGCACAAGAAAATCAAAAGCATGCATTTTTAGAGAGGTTACTGAAGTTATGTCTGATTCTTTTTTGCAATGTTAGAAATGAGTTTCATTCTGCAGCGGACATCGAAGAGATGCTTGCTTGCAAAGTATACTATTTGAATAGGAAAATGGAGATTCTTTTAAAAAAGAAAAATAAATTACCTGAAAATTTACAAAATATTCAGTTTACAGAGCCGGAGAATTTCAGAAAGATGTTGCTTTTCATTGTTTATCAAGAATCCAATGATGAACTGCAAGAGCACACATGGAGTTTTGGAAACTTTCAAATATCATTTTTTGATATTGAAAGACGTGAAGAAAAACGTTTTTTATCACCTAATACAGAGATAAAGATTAAAAGTACAGAGAGCATTTTAAGAACAAAACACAAAACGGGTGCGTTAAAGACATTGCCTTGTACAAAAGCTTTAAGGACAGCCAGTCTAAAAAGTGGACGTTTAAGTTGTTTAGAAGAAGACACACAGGAGACAGTTTTATATGAAAGGGATTCCAAAGTTGACATGAAACAGAGCAATTCTAAAGAAACCCCTATAGATACTGAAGGAGAGTGCGCAAAAACTATCGTTAAATATTTTCGTTACGTGTTGCTACACAAAAGAGCACCTCAAATCAGTGAATTGTTGAAAGAAAAACTTTTGAAGAAAAAGATGACAGAAATAAATTCATTGCTAGGTTGTTCAAATGACAATACTTATGAATGCCAAGTATGCGGATGTCCTCTCTATAGTCCTACAGGTGATTCAGAAAGAAAAGATTCTGTGATTATTTTATCGTATTCAGATGAGGAACAAACTCAAGAAAGAATAACGACTGATACAACGTTTAATGAAGAGAATGATGTGTATGATTCGTTTCACGTTTTTCCGTCATCTTCAAAAGCAGAAAAACCTGATTATCCATTTGAACTTTTACTTCGAAGTGATTTCTCCAAAGAGGAAAGACCTCTGGAAAACATTAAAGAACATTATGAAAGCCTTGAACATCGAAAGAAGGAAAACGAATATGAAGCTTTTAAACTTATGTACTGCAACGAAATATATGACACCATTAAAGAAATTGAACGGTTCATAAAAAAGCATAAAATACAAAACGAGGAATTTAGTGATCGTTTTGAAAACATATCATTCTATACAAACAGTCTTTGCAAAAAAGTTGGACAGCTAAATGAATTAGTTAATCATATTGCAGAGGCGAAAGACTGGGGCAACAGCCATATTACAGAAATTCTCGAAAGTGTTCGTCATAATTATGATATTGTGAAAGATCATGTAAAATCTATCACAGAACAGGAAAAAAAGGTATGTATTGTAAATGTATGTGTTAGAATGTATTGAAATTGATAAAAATAAATGATTTGTAATTAAAATCAGTCATATACTTTAGTACATGTACATGAATTTAAGTTAAGTGTCAATTCAATGTTTATATAGAAAAGGAAAGAGCTGCGAAATCAAAGGCGGCTCGGAAGCAGCGGGAAAGAGGACGAAGATCATCTTCATACAAAGAAAAAGAAAAAGAAGATGAAAGTCTTGCAGAAATTCACTTTTTCTAGTTCTTCCACTGCATTTTAAAACCTAAAAATATGTTAAATCTGCATGTTCATTACATGTGTATGATGTGCATTCAAGGTAAAACAGATATCGATGTACATGTTTATTTGTCTATTCCGAAGGGAAATCCAATTCTGCTTTTTATATACAGTGTGCATCATTTGTAATAAGGACTATATGTAATGAAATTATATCACATGGATTTATATCATATTGTATGATCTACCGCACATATGTATAGTGTTTAAGGTCATCACAATCGGTTGCATATTTCCTAGAATTTCAATAATTTACATGTGAATGTGATTTCTAAAATTGTAAAGATTTTTCTTATTTTTTTATGTTTTAAGTATTTGAAGATTGAGTCCCTTAAAATCGAAGATGAAAATCATTGTTTTATCAAGACAGAAAAGTTTGAGGAATCATCTTATAATCGATTTTATATAACATGTCTTGGTAAACCGCAAGATTACAAAATATAATTGATGATGATTGAACTGATTAAACTAAGCTGGTAGAATCATAAAGAAAATAAAAATAAGAATAGTGCATTGAATAACTACAAAAGTAGATTATTATTCTAAGTTTCGATGATTTGTAAAATGATTTGGAAAATTATATAAGGACCTATTTTATAAGGAAAACCTCTCATAACAACAAGATGTGTTTTATATTTACATACATCCTAGATGACTAAATGAGATAAAGCACAAGCGCAGGGAACATAATTGATCTACTGCAAACAGAACTTTTCCATGAATATATCTTTCAGTTTCAACTGGCAATAAATTATAATGGCTTATAGCATGACGAAATATATGAATGTCATGTAGTTGATTTAGGAACAGATATGAATAATTATAAGATACATTGTACACACTCATTTTTTTGGAATATTCAATAAATGTGCGTTTTCTACTTATTTTGTTACTTACTGTGTTATACATTTATTATTTATGTTCCATGAGTTTTCATTGACATTTTCTTTTTACATATTGTCCCGTGGGGATCCGGGCTAGAATAGGTCCTCAGTACCCCCTTGCTTGACGTAAAAGGCGACTAGATGGGGAGGTCCTTCGGATGAGACCGTATAAACCGAGGCTCCGTGTCACAGGAGGTGTGGCACGATAAAGATCCCTCCCTGCTCAAAGGTCCTGAGTGCCGAGCATAGGCCTAAATCTGCAGCCTTTCACCAGCAATTGTGACGTCTCCATATCAGTGAAATATTCTGGAGAGGGACAATCAATCAATCAATCTTTTTACATATTAGAAATTTACTTTATATTCATTGTACTTTACTTTTGCCTATTTAACTTCGGAAACTCTGTTACGATTTATAAGTTCCATTCGCATGCGCTGATTTACCCCCCGGTTGTGAATTTTGCATATTAACACAATTGCATAAATGCGAAAATAAATTAACATTTGTGCAAATATGCGCCCGGTTGTAAATTTGCATCTTTTCAAACCTGGTGCAAATTTCTTGCATATGTACATATGTACTCCTGGTGCATTTTTTGGCCAGTACAATGTAAAAGGTACTTGCTTTTTAGACTCTTAGTGGGTGGCAAACCTAATTTTCCTTGGGACCTAAATAACTGTCCAATTCATAATAATTGCAAAATATTTCGAATACATGTCTTCCCATTTGCAAGACCCTACTCCAGTGAGAATCGTCAAACAATATTAGTAAAAAAAATGTTTGTCACACAATTTTTTGTACCAGTCTGCCCTTTCGGTCCCTAGCCCAATGATTTCTAAAACAACCTAGTCAAAAATCTAAAACTATACAGTATGGAAATTTTTTCCTTCTTCTGAACCTAAAGCAATTTGCAATCGTTAAAACTTCGTAAATCATTGCCATTTGATCTAATCTGTTAAGTTCAATGTGAAAGTTTAGCAAAAATACTTTTACATGTGGATGCAAATTTAAATGCATGTTAAATGTGAAACTGGTAAGTTAATCAGTCCATGCGAATGGTGCTGCATATAAAAAGAAATCAAATGTGCACATTTATGTAATTTTCCAGCAGATAAAAACTCTAATTTTGCTCAATTTCATCCTATATCTACATAGGCCTAATAGGAACATAAAAGGTATTTAATGCAAAAGTCTCTATGGAGATAACGAACAGTATTCAAGATCAAAAGTCCATTAACCGATACAAAATACATGTGTAGGAGCAAACAAAGACCTCATAATCATAACAGCTAGGTGGGATCAAGTGCCATGGATGAGTTTCCATCCTCTACGACCAGTCACACCTGCCGTGTGCCCCTTGTCATGATCGGGATTAAACGAAAAAATCCGTGTTCAATTCAGTGTACGTACTGTATAGATAATGGACTAACAATGAAAAACATCAGTCAGTATCTGACTCAATGATAAATTGAAAGGAACCCTTGCTCGTTGGAATATATTATTAAGTATTTTTACATTATACGTACGAGTTCAATAAAGATAAATCATAAAAAATAATTGAATATTCACAAAATACCGTAATATATACATGTAAAATATGCATGGCTTTTTTCTGATATATCAAAAATATATTGTTTTCTTTAAGACTTACCACATAAATTCGATTCTTTTATAAAGAAAGAAAAATTCCGGATTTTTATTGTACTTTGGAAAAGTTTTTTTTTATGAATTTACAAATATATATAATAGGTAATATTATACAATTAATTACCCCTTGTGAGGTCAACATGGGAAAATAAGGACCCAAGACCTTGCACACGAGTTGACCTGACCTGACCGAGGCCGCGTAGGTCATCGAGTGGGCCAGGTCGAGGGTCCTTATTTCACCATGTTGAACTCACAAGGGGTAATTAATTGTTTTATTATACCGATATATATTGAAAAGTATGAATCTCTAACCGTTATCAATTCTTTCTTTGATCGGGATCGGGATTCGCTACAGACAGGATAGTGAAGTTGTTTACATTGACGTCTGCAAGTCGTGTAAGTTTTTGCATGATGATTTACTGATAAAAACAATATTTAGTTGATAGCGACATACATTGTTATAACTAACGATTACTTTTCCTCTACACAGTCAAAATCTAACACAGAATTAAACTCTTTAAAGAGCCGCCTCTACATTCTATTGAACTTAATTGTAACGATATATTGAAACAATATATTGTAACGATAAATTTTTACCGTATTCTGTATGGTAATGCAAAATACACCATGCACAATTTTAAAAACATGTTTATTTTTCAAATTATTATTATTTCATGCATTAACTTCACTCAAAAACGAATTTTTGATTAAGCGGTCATTTTTAGCGGTCATTAAAAATAATGACCGGGTCATTATATCCCACGTGCAATGATTCCTAGGTCAGTATTGCTGTAAACAGTACCATTTGGAGTCATTGTTGTGTTTTAAAGTTTTCTTACCAGCCAATCAAATTCGAGTATTATCAATAGAGGTATAATAAAACAGATTAATTAACAAATCAGCGGTGCAAAAATTATACGTTTGTGGACGAAAACTTCAAAAATTTTACAAACGTACCCCGATATAAATCAAGAAAAACTACAATATAGCGGTAAGTAGACCTAATACAATGTCGCATACAATTTATCTCAATAATCATTATTTATACGAAAACTGTTTCAACTCTTTTTGATATAACAAAACAATTCATTACAACTTATGAGTTAAACTTGATTAAATTAATAGCTTCTTTGTGGCCTCTTGCTTGTCTGACTTTACCTCGCGGCATTGGTCGGGTCAAGTCAACTCGTAGGGACGACCTGTCTTTATTTCACCATGTTGACCGCATTAACAAACACTGAAGCAGCGGTGGACAAATCTATATTGTATGAGTAAATCTAAAGCGGACTCAACGTCTGTAATGAAATTTATTGCACAAGGTACTTGTGCAATATGCCCCTCCTCATATCTGTGATTTGATCTACACTCTCCATTTTCTATTAAAGTCAATGATAAGGCAATTACATGACAATCAAAACCACGTACAATTCTATGCAAGCTGTACCAAATCGCATGATTGCATCTTGATGACCTATCAATCCACATTTCACAGGCAATCAAAGAAAAGATGGCAATTCTATATTTACTTATATTATGTGGTACAGCCAAAGGCTGAAAGCAAAATGAGAATCTTTTTTTTTTTGATAGTCAGTTATGCATTTCTCATAAACCTAACTTCTAGTATTCAGTTGTTGTCTTATACAATGTACACTCCTTATTATCATTAATGTCTTTTCAGAGAGACATCATTAACGCCCAACAATGCTTAAAAATCATTCAACGCTATATCCATTTATTTTGCTCAAACTATTGATATTCAAACTAATTAAATTATTATATTATTTTTTTCAAATTCTATTTATAAGCGGAATTTTAGAAATAATTTGCATTTGAATTCTTCGGGACGCCATATTTGATTATTTATAACATCACTGAAAATTTCAATCTCTATTTAAAATTCAAATAAGAAGAAACAAAAAAAAAATTCACAGTCAGCTTTTGTCATAAGGAGAACTTATCTAACGTTCCCAGAATGCAAGAAATAAAAAAATATATAAATTGGCGTTGTACAAAACTGAAACAATTTGAAGCTAGTGGTACAGTACTGTTATTGGTCAAAGACCGAAATTTGGGAATAGGACAATGAAACAAGTATGACTTTATAACGATGAAATTAGATAAATACACAGCACCATGTAGAAACCTGATTAAAATCTGACATCTTTGACTGTTAATATAATAAGTTAATGTTAATATAAAAATGTTATATAAGAATAATTGTTTGGTGGACGATTCAACACTTTCAAATCGGTTCAGAACAAATTAGGATTTCACAATTACCTTACTTAAAACCCACTTCCTTGATTTTATCTGTTGTCTGAATACTGAATGTTTTCAGTGAAACAACACATGAAATCAACATTTGAGATGAGACAGTAATGGAAAGACCTGTAAAATGTGATCAATCAATAAGCTTTCAATTTTTTCTGAAACACCATGTACATTACATGTTCCTGTAAGATAAGGTGTTCGTATCTTGCTTAATTTGGTGAATATATAATAAAAAGGTTTAGACATGCACTATATTTTATTCACTAGATACGGATAATATAAACAAAAATTAACAGAAAACTTAAAACTCACACACAGTTATATTTGAATATTCTTCCATGTTATACAGATGTCAAGTACAAATAATTCCTGTATCTACAAGCACATATTCATGCATTCTTGTATCTAGACACAAGAACCATCCTCGAATAGATTATATATCGTTCAAACAAGATCTCTTATCTGATTTTTCGCTTTCACAAAAAAAAAAAATTAAACGAGACAAAAATTAATAAAGTCATCACCATCTAATTTTTTAATCCAATTCTAACAGCAAATACATGTTAATAGCGTTGGGATTCAGCAATGCCTTACAATACCCCTTAAAGCATTGAATAGCAAGAAGATTCCAATTTGCCGTCTTTAAAGTATGGATGCTTCAAAGTCAAATGTCAAAATTTGAAACAGAAGGAAGTCAGTCATAAAGGGAAATTACGTGAATAGTTATAATCAATCTTTGACTTACGTTCTGCATTCTGCATTGACTTCATTCTGTTTGCAGTGAATTTATATACCATGGGTAAAATGTTAATGGGCGGGTATTGCCCCAACTTTGACCATTTTTTTCCAGTCTGAAATATGCATTCTGTTTACTGTTATTTCTGCGAATTTTATTGGAAAATACTTCGAAATAAAAAAAATTATGATCATTTCTGCTAATTTGAGTCTTTCTATTAATCAGTACTTAATGTGTTTGATTGTGTTTGATGTCGTCAATTATACGAATATGTGTTTACTAATTTTGATTATTTGTCATTTTATTAATTATTAATAAAAGACTATTTAATTCCAAAAATGCATTC